TTTGCGATTCCTAAACATTGTGCTTTACTCCAACTCGTTAATTTTGCGATTTCGTCTAAAGACTCAAAAAAATCGGTGACCTTAAGGCCCTCTGTGTCCCCCGCAAAGGAAGGTATCAACGGAATCATGCCCCCTAATCCGCCTAGCGCGGCTCCTCCTGCGGGCTCTGCTCGTGCACCTCCTGCTGTCTCTCCTCGCGCCCGACCTTCACCTCTTGTCTCCATCTTTCTTTTTTTTTTTCGAGTTATCTAGGGTCGTTTCTAAATTCTATCCCGCTCTGACACCACTGTGACTGTAAGGTCGGCACCTCTTTGGCGCCCTGTCAGGATGACACCACCGAGTCTCTAGGGGACTCGGAAATCGCGACGTTAAGTCTAAAGATTCGCGAGCGGTAGCGTGTGAGCGCTTGGATTCGGAGTAGAGGTGAGGAGAGAGACGAGGAAGTGACTCACTCGGACTCCATATGTTCTAACAACTAACAATTTTAATAATAAACAAAGAAAATACAGAGATATCGGGCATATTAGCGGACTTAATTATACTATTCCGTTCGAGAGAGAGAGTTTACAACCGAGTCGCGGGTTGATAAATACCTTTCTTTTTCCTAGGTCGCAGATCTGTAGTATGAGGACACTATGGACTCCTCTGAAATGGTCTTTCCACTAGTTCTTGTCCGTTAATTGGATCTCGGAGGTGTGGAAGCACGGAAGTGGGGTGAGATTCTTAAGGAGACACGGTGTTACTTCTGTCAAGGTGTTATTTCGGAATTTTGATGCACGGGTTTTATCCTGGGTTGCGGTTTTAATCCTGGGCACGGTTTGAATCCTGGATCACGGTTTTAATCCTCGGATGACGACTTCTGTAGAGGGACTTCGGATGACGACTTTTGTAGAGGGACTTCGGATGACGACTGACTTCGGGGTCGTTTTTCTTTTTCCCTTTTTCATTCCTCTTGGGTTTTTTCCATGAGGTCAGGTGATGGCCTTTAACGGTCGCCCGTCCAATATGTCTTTTCCATTCAAAGTTCCTGGTGACACATCCCTGACTAACTTGATCCGACTCAACAAGGAACAAACCCCGTGGGAAATAATTTTTATGGCTTTTAGCCTAACTCGATAAAACGTTCGAATTTAACCGATTAAAGTTTCCAATACTTAAAATTTAAAATAACACTTTATTGTGGGTCTGTTCGTCCCTCACAAAATCATTCACCATTCTCATTTCTCTTAAATTCCTAACAATTTTGAAAAGTTTAAATGATTGTTTACATATGATGATAAATAATTTGTGACTTTCCGAGTAAAATCCCAAATTGTTTCAGAAGTAACAATAAGAATTCTCAGCAAAGAAGAAGTGTTGCAGTTTTAATAGTAATTCTTTAGGTAATATATAATAAATATTAAAAATGTAATAAAAAATGTTGTCTATTTATTATATCACATTTATTACAATTTCTTGAAAAGTCATGGTGATAAAATAGTTATAAATAATATAAATTAGCCTTATGAAGCTAATTAGTGTAATTTTTTGTGCCCAGGATAATATATTGGAAAGTTAAATTCAGGTTTTGTGTATAGAAGTTTCAATAATTTATTTCATTATCTTCTAGATCCATTAGTTTTTTCAATAATGATTGTAGAAAATAAAACATTTTATAACAGATGTAATTTCAGTAAAAAATATAATTTGACTCAAATTAAGGAATTAAAATCTATTTACATATATAATAAAAAATAATTTTTAATTAGAGTGTAATAAAGTTTGTGGAAGAAATTAAATTAAATTTAAACATAAAAGTAACATCAGATAAAAATACTGTAATAAAATTACAATTCTGTTATATATTATTACAATAAGTTAATTGAATATTTTTAGGCTACTGCTAATTTTCTGGAAGAGCAAACTGAAAGTATTGATTTTGAAGAATCAATAATGGCAAAACGAAAAAGTATGGGATTACAAGAAACATTAGTTGAAACTGTTGCAACTGTTGAAGGTAAATAATAATAATAATAAACATTAATTCTAGATCTTGTTTATTTAGAATTGTAATAATCTGAAAGATTTAGTTTTGCATTCATTACTTAATTATCAATTTACTGTCCAGCTGTGCACAATCTGAAGTTTGTAGGTACAGGATTAAAGAAAGTTATGAACTGCAATTTGTAGTATATATAACCGCGAAGAAACTTATATAATTGATTGTCGTGGGCTTTGAGAAAATGCTTCCTAGATTTATCATCTTGCAGAGTACTGTTTTCCTGTTTATTTTTAGGGCTGAACACCACCATTCTTTTGAAATGGATTTTATTAATGTATAGCATTATCTGAAAAGGGGATCTTCTCCTGACTAATTTATGTGATTACAGACTATTTTGGAAAATCTGTGTATTGTGTTTTCTTGAACAATTTCCATTTTGAAGTATGATGTCACGTTATCCTCCAGACATCAAAAATTATAAATCATGGAAATTGTGACAATAATTTAGAAATCAGTTTGTGTAATAACTAATGTTTTTAACAGGATTTGAACTGTATTTAATAAAAGATAATGCTTTTCTATATTTAAAAAAATTTGTTAATTTAAAGGGAAATTTTAATATTAAAATAATTGAATTAATAGTTAATTTTAATTATATGTAAATTGTTATAATAGAAAAGAAGCAAGGAATGGATATGTTTTCTGAAGCAGACATGTTTTCAGAAAATTATGGGGTAAGTATTGAAATTTGTAGTTTATAGATATTTAAGTAGTATTACTTCATTCATTGGTTAGATACTTATATTAGATATAGATATTGATATTTATGGCAAAGTAGCAATATTTTCAAGCAGAACATTTTTTTATGGAATGATCTAAAGAAAGAAGTAAAATTAATTTATTAAAACAAGACATTTTATAGTATATGAAATAATTTTGCTTTCCTGTAGTATTTTACCATTTGTAATGTCATTTGTAATAACTGATTGACAGGGTACTAAATACAATAAAACTTTGCTAATTCTGAATTCACACTAACTTGGAATATTATTTTTCAGTTTGTATTTTTTTTTTTTAATAACAATCTTTAACTTTAATAAAATTGTTAGACAGATAAAATGAATTTGAGTATGAATTCATGCATGTTTTAGTCTGATTAATTTAACCCATAAAAACTTTAATAAAATGAAGCTTTTATTAATTTATATAATAAAATTTTGAAGAGATAATCTGTTATCTACACAACAAGTGTGAAATGTGAGTAAGTTGTTAGGTTTTATTCAGGGCTGCGGAGTCGGAGTCGTGGAGTTTTGATGTTTTAGTTGGAGTCAGATGGTAAGGAAAAGTTGGAGTCGGAGTTGAAGTTGGTAGATTTTTACGCAACTTCCACAGCCCTGGCAGGGCTGTTGAGTCGGAGTCGGATGATAAGGAAAAGTCGGAGTCAGAGTTGGAGTCGGTACATTTTTACGCGACTCCACAGCCCTGGTTTTATTGCTGTAATTTTTTATATGAAGTTTTAGTTAAAATAATTTTTCTTATATTTAAATAAATTTAGTTTATATAATAATTAAATTTGTAAGTAAGTCTATTATGTATATTGTGTAAGTTTTACTTATACTAATGCAATAAAATTTATTTTAGCAAAGTCCTGCAACCATGCAATTGTTAGCATCAAAAGCTCAAGACAATCCTAATCTCACTGATAATTGGGATGATGCCGAAGGCTATTACCGTAAGTGAAAAGTTATTGCAGAATAATTGAATTTTTGTAAAAATACTGTTTATGCATTTTAATTTTGATTTTTCGAAAACTTAAATAGGTGTTCGAATTGGTGAAGTACTAGATAATAGATACACTGTGTATGGTTACACCGGCCAAGGTGTATTTAGCAATGTGATAAGAGCTCGTGACATGGCACGTGGAAATAATGATGTTGCCGTGAAAATTATTAGAAATAACGAAGTTATGTAAGTTATAAATATTATTATTATTTTATTTTGATAAGAGAGAAAATTTGATTATATAAGAACAAAATAAAGTAGGGTTTCTCATTTCCCGGTCTTTTGCTCATCTCAGGATTTCGGAAAAAAAGTGAACTGTTTCCCCGGAAATCCCGGGATATAATTAATTATTTTTAAGATATAAAATAAATCTTAAAATCAAACGATATAATTATTTTTCATTTTTAAGTAACTTAATACATCCTGCAATCTCCAAAATAATAATAACGCTGTGTAAAATATGTATAAAAAATTACTTTTGAGTTACGTAGAAATTTTCACAAATAGAAAAAGTTTATTAAAGTTTGTTGGAAACTGCTTATGACAAAAATGCCTTTGAATTGAGTTGAAAATTTAAAGAAAAAAATGAACCTAGATCAAACTTCTAAGTTAGAAGGTAATTTTTGTTATTTAAATAAAACATATTATAAAAATTTAGAATAATATTTTGTATTAAGATTTTAAAAAGTAAAGATGTCAATACTCTGATCACTCAGTTTGATTCTTATTTTACTAAAGAAAAGTCCTGCTACCAAGAATGCCCTTTTTGATTCAATTGATGTGGGTGGAATTGTCTTTAATGCATTTAAGAGAAGATGGATGTTATGCTTTTTCACCTGTAGCCTGGAAGATTTCTAGTTTGTTTTTGAGATACATTATAGTATTTCTTTTGCTTTCTAGTATTCTTGATTTGTCTACCTCAGCTGCTTTAATAGTGGCATCAAGCTTACAGCCCAATAATTCAGCAGTTTGTTTGACTTTAATAATCAGGTTTATGAAGAAAAACTTCATACTTGCATACTTTTTGTATTCTTGCCCAATTTGCTCAACCTAGCATAATGCAGTTATTGAAGCTACTGGGCATGGTTAAAAATTAAGACAGCATAAGAACAATTTCCAGATATTACAGGTTTTGACAAATAAAGAATTTTCAGAGTTTTGTAACAAATAGGCTATATATTGATTATTGACAATCTATGACATGCCATAATAAGCAGAAATTTAAAAAACTAATAAGCAGGCTTAAAATTCATAAATAAAAATTATTCTGACAGTTTATGGTTTAATAATTATACTTCCAATTTGCAAAATTTCCTCAACCTTAATACAAAATAAGAAAAAAATAAATTTTTAAGAAATTTGCAGGATTTCCCAGGATGAGAATTTCCCAGGTTAAAAAACAGCCGGGATCCTGAGATCTCATTGGAGAAACCCTAAAATAAAGAAGAAATTTTGTCACTTGTTATTGCATGACTTATGATATTACATAAACAGAATTTAAAGTTCTGCTTAGGTTATGTACAGTACAACAAGAAGTAAAAAAATTAAACTCTAAATGAGGAACAAGTATAACATCATTAAGCATATTGTATTTAATTAAAAAATTGTGAAGTGTGGGCATAAAAATAATTTTACATCATAAAGGTATTCACTAGCAGAATGCAATTTGTCATCTTCAAGCTATTCATGAAAGATAAAATTAATTTATTACAATGCTGTATCCATGTACACACACACACACACACACACACACACACACACACACAATTTATATTTGGATAGTTAGACATACAGCAATATTGATTCCTTATAAAATACACTTGTAAATAACAAAGATAACTAATATGACTTATTTTTGCTATTTAAAATATTGATATTACAGTATATGTCTACAGTGGCCAAAAATACCGTTGTGATAGAGAATGTAGCTCTCATGTATTTTTTATCAATGATATATATATTATATATATATATATATATGGCTGCTATTGTATATACAGGGGAATGCAAAAGTTATGCATCAGTTATAAAACAAAAATACAGATGCTGAGTTTGTTATGTTTTATTTTATTATTTCACATTCCTAATATGTGATTTATGCATAGAATGAATTTGTTTTTTCAGTAATAAAAACTGTGTACGTACTTTTGCATCCATCCTGTAAGTTTTTGTTAATTACTACATTAAAACAGTTTTATTCTTTTAGGTTAAATAAATTAAAACAACAGCCAGAATGGCTGAACAGTTAAGGTGTCAGCCTACCACTCTGTGGACCCTGTGAATGAATCTGGATGGGTTAAAAAAATTCCAGGAATTTTTTGGGTGATTCATCCTTGGATATATTGGGCTCCATTTCACACTGTCTTGCTGCTCCATTGTGAGCCTGACCAAATCCATAATGGGCATAAGGTTAATAAAATGGTCTTCTTAATGCCCATTAGGCACAAGAGTAAAACAAGATATAAATAAAAAATTTTAATATAATTGATAGTAAGATAACAGAAAACGTAATTTAAAATAATTCATTACAAATTAATAATAGACATTTTCAAATGAATAGATGACACTTAAAATCAGCCATTTGCACATTGTGATATTAATAAGTATTTTTTACTCAAAATGAGTGAATGAATGAGTCAATGAATATGACTAATATAACTTTATGCATACTGTTTGTTATAATATGTCCTATATACTGCATAATATGCATTATTTTGTGGAAAGTGGACTTTATAGTCTGTAATAAGATCTAAAGTAACAATTACTATATAAAAATACTTTTTATCCTTTTACTTTGTGATAGGAGATTTATTTATTCTAACTTTATTATATTATGTTAATGAATAATTTTGAAAATTAATATATTTTTTTTACTTTTTAATTTTTTTAAAGGCATAAAACTGGACTTAAAGAACTAGAAATGCTTAGACGATTAAATGATGCAGATCCTGATGATAAATTTCATTGCTTACGATTATTCAGGCATTTTTTTCATAAACAACATTTATGCTTAGTGTTTGAACCATTAAGGTGTGTAAAGGATTTTTATGTAATCATTTAATTTTATTAAATACTTAAAAAATGATTTTAATAATCATTATGAATTTGCAGTATGAATCTTAGGGAAGTTTTGAAGAAATATGGAAAAGATGTTGGATTACATATCAAAGCTGTCCGATCTTATAGTCAGCAACTATTTTTAGCACTAAAACTTATGAAAAGATGCAATATTTTGCATGCAGATATTAAGCCAGATAATATTCTAGTAAGTGATTTAAAAAAAAAATACTTTTTGTTCCGTAGATATAAAACTTAATTTCTATATTATTCTAGGTTAATGAAAGTAAATTAGTACTGAAATTATGTGATTTTGGTTCTGCTTCACACGTAGCAGAAAATGATATAACACCTTATCTTGTCAGCCGTTTTTACAGAGCTCCCGAAATTAGTAAGTTATTTATTCACTTTAAAAAATGTGCTGTGATTAAGTATAATATTTAACAAACTGATTTTCTTTTGATTAGTTCTTGGATTAGGATATGATTTTGGAATTGATATGTGGAGCGTTGGATGTACGTTGTATGAATTATACACAGGAAAAATTATGTTTGCTGGAAAATCGAATAATCAAATGTTAAAATTTTTCATGGATTTAAAAGGAAAATTTCCAAACAAATTAATACGAAAAGGTGCTTTTAGAGAACAACATTTCGACAGTAATTGTAACTTCTTATCTCATGAAGTTGATAAAGTTACAGAAAGGGTAAGATACTTGAAATTTATCATATTTCTCTCTCAAAAATACTACAATAAAATCTACATTTTTTTGTAGGAGAAAGTTGTGGTTTTAACAAATATTAATGCCAGCAGAGATTTACAAGCTGAATTAATCGGTAGTCAGCGTTTACCGGATGACCAGTATCGGAAAGTTTGCCAGTTGAAAGATCTTCTGGAAAAAATACTAATGCTAGATACAGCAAAGAGAGTATCAATTAATCATGCTTTGACCCATCCATTTATACAAGAAAAAATATAAGTAAGTATGATTAAGTTTGAAATAATGTAATACCGAGGGAGCTAGATATAATCATTATCTCTTTCTTTTTAATAAAATAAAAATTTTGTTAAATTTATTTAATTAAAGGTTACCTTGTCAGTTTAATGTTTTTAATGTAATGAACTTCAGAACAAAAATGATTTTGATCATAATATAATATAAAAATTATCATTTAAGTGGCCAATTTGTTTTCATTTTTTAGGATATTTTAGAAATAGAATTAGAATTGTGATAGTAAAATAGCAATAATTTGAAAATAATGCTTTCTAAATGGTTTAATCAGTTGTTAATTATCTTCATTTAGATTTCGAAAATAATTGATTATAAATCTGATAAATAGAATTTAATTTAATGACATGAAAATGTTTTCTTGTTTTAATTTTTAAGTTTTATATATATAAGCAATTTTTGTTTTTGTTGAAATTTGGTTCAAAGAAAATTAGCCATTGGATATTTATATCACATTGATTGGACTTCTAATATACTGGATCAAGAAATATGTGGTTATAATTCAACTATATTTAACTTTAGCTGTCTACTGATAAATTTCGTAAATGCTATTACTTTGTCTTTACTCTAAATTCTGTGTTGTGCTGCTAATATGCTAAATTAATACAAAGAGAGATAGCCAATCCTTTAAAGTTAATGGAAACTGAGTTATGTTATTTCAGATGTTCGTATATAAGGTGACCAACTTTTTTACAATGAAAAGGACACTAATAAATTGAAGGAAAAAAAATATTGTAAATAAAAAACATTTTATTCATTACAACAGTAATACACTATAATAATGTCTACTGCATGCATAGGTGCCATGTCATGTTTTGATAAAAAGTAAACAAAGCCATTTGCGCATTCTCTCTCTCTCAAGGCCTCCTGTGCAAAGAGCATGTCTCTCATAATTGCATCTCGTTGCACTGTACAGAGCCTTGATGACTCATGTTAAATACAAACACATCATATCACATCACACACTACGGATTGGTTTCGCTTTGATCGAATATAGAGATTTACAGATTAATCTTCAAATATCAAAAGGGAGGACATATAGGAGGACACTTTTCGAGGGAGGACAGAACTTACAAAGGAGGACAATTGGTCATCTTACCATATAATACTTCAGATTTATTTAGTACTTTCTCGACTTTCCTCAGATTCTATAACTAACTGAGCTGCAATTTGAAATAAATTGTAGACCTATAAATTTCTACTGTCATTTGTCCATCCATCTTTCCTTAATCTCAAGAATAGAGTCAGGTAGAAGAAAGATGAGACCGGATATGGAAACCTGGAAACCTTAGGGGCTGGAGACCCTGATTAAGTACAGTTGACCCCCCTATAACACTGTAGATATGTTCCGCTTTTTATGAAATTCATGTTTTACGAGTCCTTTAATACATGAGCCAATCACAGCCCGGCATGTATGCAGTTTACGGACTACTGCTGTTTGAAAGGTTTTTCTTCCATAAAATTAATCGATTCTAGACTAATTTGACTCAACATTTCCAAAACATGTATAATTTTTTGGGAATAATCCATATAAACTATGCTATAAACAAAAAATTGTAGGATTACTTACCGAGTGTGCACTGTTCGACGATGCCATTGCTTAAGCTTGTTTTAGTTGCAGAGCAGCGCATCAAACAGCGGGCATGTGTTTCCCGATAACTCATTTTTCTGTGAAAAATTTGCTGAACTTTGGAGACATCATTAATTAATATAAATATAATTTTTATGGCCGTTAAATAATAATTGGTTTTTAGTAGGTCCGCTGCTTGTTTAATCTCAACAGTTTGTGCAATATCCGCTATTGGTCTAGATTTGACCAATCCTGTTGCGACACGAGTCGGCGATGACATTTTACCGTATTTTATGAGTTTCTTTTAGCATCCTTATAAGAATATGGTCACAATTTTTTCGTTGCTATATACGAATTTGCATTATATGAACCCATTTTATAGGGGTCTACTGTATATACAAACTTCTGATGCAAACTGGAAGTCATGTTATTTCAATTCAAAGCTTTTCCCCTGAAATGAGTTAATAGATTATTTGCACAACTGTATCGTTAAAGGAAAAGTATGATGTATAGGGGCAAGCTACTACTAATTTGAGGTAGCGAGCATATATGAAATAAATTAAGAATATTAAAAATTGCAGTCTGCTATTGTAACGATGTAACAATTATTTAATTGCTTGTTAAACAAAAGCAAAACATTGTAGACAAAAGTTAAAATTATATTCAAATGTTATATAAAACATATGTAGCATTGTTCTTTGCAAATCTGTTAAGCATAAAATATGTCAGTAGTATGAAAGTTTTGCAATTAAATATAATGGCATAAGTAGACATTAGCATGGAGGGAGCAATAATCAGTCCATCTGGTTTTAACAAGGCGGACTGATTATTGTTAACCTTGATAAAGAAACAAATTAAATAGTAAGATGTAGTAACTTTACATCAGGATACTTGGATTCTTAGAAACTGTATCACGGTTATTATATAAAAGTTATTATATATTGTTGACTAACAACATAACTAAAAATTAGAAACCTAATTTCGGACATATTAAAAGTATAAAAAAAATTATAAGTCCACTGTCTTTGATTGTCCCTAGTCATCAAAAATAGTTATAAATTGAACAGATAGCAAAAACCAGTGCAATGTGAACAGCTACTGCAAAAAGGTGCATTTATAATTCCTTTCAATCAAACAGGATTTGTAAATGAATAAATACTGAAATTCATGTATCCACTTGAAGTAAATATTAAGATAATTTAAAACATGGAAAATATATTTAAATTATTTTTAATTTAGTTTAATCAATTTATAACACTTCATATATACGTTTTTTATGCACAGATGTTTAATTGTTAAATATTATCATTATAGTTTGTGCAGCCAAAGAGTAGACACGAGTCAGCCTGAGCTGGAAGAGGGTGTATGTCAGATGAAAGGGATGAGAGATGTGGCTACCCCTTGAGAGTGACACATGAATCTGATCTCTTTCAGCTGTTCTGTTTTTTACATTTCTAAAACATTTTTATACTATATTTATCATAATTTTATTGTTTTATTTTGTTTTTTTTTTTACAGATTTCATTACTTACTCTCAATTCTAACATTACATCACATGTTAATCACAAATCTCCTTTTATCTGACTGAGATCCTTCCAATTCAGGCTGACTCATATCTACTCTTTTGCTGTGCGCAGACTATATTATGAAATTTCAGAATTTGTTTTATTTATAAATCAAAACTTTAATTGATATTATTTAGATTTTAAATATTAACTTTCAACATTTTAACAATTTTTGATAGGATCTAACAATAAAGATGAAAATGAATTAAACAAAAGTAAGTATTTTAAATGCTTTTTAATTCAATAAGACACCTATAATAATAATTATTATTATTATTCTATCATTTTCATTTCTTAATTTTTAAATGAACTTTTAATCATGATCTGTAATTAGAACTTGGTGTTATTGAAATGCATAATATCTGTAAGATAATTGTATAGTTTTTAATAGATAACAGATATAAGCAAGTATTAGATTTAAAATTTATTAATGTGCTTTTTGAAAATTACATAATTTGTATTTCAATGGCAAAAAGTGTTGATGAATTTTAAGCAGCTCTGTGTCTAAACTTTAGTGATCTGAGAACTTCCCTGTTACTGTATTCTTTGACAAAACAGTATAAATAAAACTATAAATAAACTAACATCTTAATTTTTAATTTTTTTATAGAATCTTGAAAAGTGTGTGTGTGTGTGTACTGTACTGTACATACATATATATAGTTGGAATAAGCATCTCTATTTAAAGGAATAAATATTGAAAAATGTCACACGTGGCCACTCAGAATTAGTTTTTCATATACACAATGCAAACTATCCTGCCAATTATATAAGTCTAACATCACACTTTGCAAATCAGAAGCTCTGCCATTACTCACTCCTCTCTCACTTTCAAGGATTCAATTGAGGATTCCAATTACTTCCAGTATATTTTGATTTAAAAAGCTTGTCATAATTTTCCATACATTTTGATAGTAGTTATATATTTATTAAATATTTTTTCTAATTTGTCAGTTCATCACAAAGTCCTTCCAGAAGGCACCTTTTCTTTGGCAGATTGTTCATGTCTTGCATTATCTTATTCCACTAATTTTTTCAGTACTGAATAGTTTTATTCTTTTATGCCATTTGCTGTTGAATTAAAAAAAAGTGATTAATTAACCAAAATTGAAATATTTTGTTTAAACACATCCTGTTACATTAATTGGTTTACCTTATTATTTTTACTGATTCTTAAAGTTTGGAAGCAATCTTCCATTTTCTTTTTTTATATGGATATTTTTCTGTCCCAAAAAATCCATATAAATGTAAAAACAGAAATAATGTAAAAAATCATGTTAAAACAGAATTAGGTGTACATAATTTATGTATGCATGCATCATTATGTTGTAATTTTCCTTACTCTTGAATCTCTCTGCCATCTTTTTATATTAATAGCTATATTTTTACTTTCCAGGCTCTGTTTTATATAACAGAGGGAAAGTGTGACAGTCAAAAAAAGACCCTCAAGAGTTTTACATTTTTGGACTCAGGACCTTGAAATGTTGAGTAATGCAAAAAAATTATGGGTTTTTTTTGGTATGCATTTTGTTTGTTGGTTTGTTTGTGTGTGTGTGTAGGGCACAGTTTTGTTTACCCTCTTTGAAGCTTACTAACTCCTGTGCTTTTGTCAAAAATTTCTGAAATTTTGCAGGGAGGTTTGTGTATTTGGGGGATTGATGCTATTAAATTTTGATGGTTAAAGTTCGATGGAGTTGGGAGATAAAGGGGATCATGTTTTGTATCTTGAGTAGGGTCAGACTTATTGAAGATTTTACTCATTATTAGCATTTACAATTTTTTATAAAATCCATCCCTAACCTTAAAATTAAGCTTTTACCATTTTATAATAATCAAAAATATAAAAAGTTTTTAATAAAATATAACAGATGGCACCACCAAACTTTTAAAAGTTGCCAGGAAAGTTAAGCAACTTGTTGCTGGATTTTAAATTAATATATAAATTTGATGATAATCTGGGCATAGTATGTAAACTTTAATTTTTTATTTCCAAAGTTTTTGCAGAATTAATACACACAAAGTATTTTGTAGTTATTGCAGTATTATTTCTTTCAAACTAGTTTTTTACGGTGCTTTTAACTTTGTGTTCTTAATAGATAAGAATAATCTTTTGCAGTTCTCTCTATGCTCATAAATAGTTTAATATATAAATAAGACATTTACATAATGTTTTTGTTGAAAAAACTTTTAATTAACTTTCATTTCATATATGTAATGTGCTGAATATATTTTTGAGTTTTGAAAGAATCAAGTAATTTGATCATGCTTCAAATTATTACATTTATTTTTGTTTTATAAGCGCAATGTAACATAATAACAATCACTTGGCACGATTCACTTCTTTATTTCAATTTTTGTTCATATGCATTTACACAGATGTTTCGGGCATCATTTGCCCCTCTTCAGTCAACTAAAAATATACATAAAATCATTTTTACATACAGAACAACCCGACACACAAATTCAAAAATACGGATTATACAAGTAGCAGCACATAACCTACCTTAAAAATACAAATGCCATCCTTAGATGTATATTACCACAAGTGGGAACCATACAATATACATTGGATTACTTAGTGTTTCAATTTAAGAAAAGGTTTTTTACTATAAAAGTACAGCTTAAAAAACAAATTGACAAATTCTGTACAGGACATACCTCAAATACTAGGCCAAAGACTTAACTTTAGTTGGTATACACAATACTTTGACTTTCACAACCAGGTTTTTTTGGATTTGAAGTTCCCTTAAACCTCCATAAAGTCTTATAAAAAATGAGTATAATTAATGTACCTAGTACATAAATATTATGCTATATATTTAACTTGTGTTTACATACACATTCTCGGAGGACCCTCAGAGATACAAAGGGAAAACCGGAATAGACGTGTAGCACAGTTCTTTCTTCTTTAATGTTAATATCAGTTCGTACATAATCCACAGAACTGAACTTCTCTTTGACTGATCGTTTTATTCTTATTTAATGTTAGTGATAGTTCCTACGTAATCGATGGAACTAAACTTCACCTTGACGAATCTTTTTGTTTGTCTTTCGGCATCTGGTGGCATTTTTCCTTATGGTGATTTGCATAATCATGCATTCTTTTAAAATGGCAATCCAAGACTGTCATGATTTTAACCATTTTTAAGGATATTTTTCCAAAAAAATTTTTTTCTTTCTAAAGCTGCTTTCCAGTGAATTCTCTCTAAAGAATTTTTTACAGTATTTTTAAACAGTTCTCATTGATTTTTAAACTTAAGTTTTTATTTATACAGTGTTTATTTTTTAAAATTCCTATACTTTCTTTGAATTTTCTATTATAAGTTTCTTTTTCTTTATGTAGGATTTTAACATTATTCTGATCAATATTGCAGTTATTTAGTGTACAGTGTTCAAGAAAAGCTGAATTAATTCTGTGATGTTTTAAATCTGCTACATGTTGTTTTAATCTAATTTTCATCTTTCTCTTTGTTNTATATGGCTGCTATTGTATATACAGGGGAATGCAAAAGTTATGCATCAGTTATAAAACAAAAATACAGATGCTGAGTTTGTTATGTTTTATTTTATTATTTCACATTCCTAATATGTGATTTATGCATAGAATGAATTTGTTTTTTCAGTAATAAAAACTGTGTACGTACTTTTGCATCCATCCTGTAAGTTTTTGTTAATTACTACATTAAAACAGTTTTATTCTTTTAGGTTAAATAAATTAAAACAACAGCCAGAATGGCTGAACAGTTAAGGTGTCAGCCTACCACTCTGTGGACCCTGTGAATGAATCTGGATGGGTTAAAAAAATTCCAGGAATTTTTTGGGTGATTCATCCTTGGATATATTGGGCTCCATTTCACACTGTCTTGCTGCTCCATTGTGAGCCTGACCAAATCCATAATGGGCATAAGGTTAATAAAATGGTCTTCTTAATGCCCATTAGGCACAAGAGTAAAACAAGATATAAATAAAAAATTTTAATATAATTGATAGTAAGATAACAGAAAACGTAATTTAAAATAATTCATTACAAATTAATAATAGACATTTTCAAATGAATAGATGACACTTAAAATCAGCCATTTGCACATTGTGATATTAATAAGTATTTTTTACTCAAAATGAGTGAATGAATGAGTCAATGAATATGACTAATATAACTTTATGCATACTGTTTGTTATAATATGTCCTATATACTGCATAATATGCATTATTTTGTGGAAAGTGGACTTTATAGTCTGTAATAAGATCTAAAGTAACAATTACTATATAAAAATACTTTTTATCCTTTTACTTTGTGATAGGAGATTTATTTATTCTAACTTTATTATATTATGTTAATGAATAATTTTGAAAATTAATATATTTTTTTTACTTTTTAATTTTTTTAAAGGCATAAAACTGGACTTAAAGAACTAGAAATGCTTAGACGATTAAATGATGCAGATCCTGATGATAAATTTCATTGCTTACGATTATTCAGGCATTTTTTTCATAAACAACATTTATGCTTAGTGTTTGAACCATTAAGGTGTGTAAAGGATTTTTATGTAATCATTTAATTTTATTAAATACTTAAAAAATGATTTTAATAATCATTATGAATTTGCAGTATGAATCTTAGGGAAGTTTTGAAGAAATATGGAAAAGATGTTGGATTACATATCAAAGCTGTCCGATCTTATAGTCAGCAACTATTTTTAGCACTAAAACTTATGAAAAGATGCAATATTTTGCATGCAGATATTAAGCCAGATAATATTCTAGTAAGTGATTTAAAAAAAAAATACTTTTTGTTCCGTAGATATAAAACTTAATTTCTATATTATTCTAGGTTAATGAAAGTAAATTAGTACTGAAATTATGTGATTTTGGTTCTGCTTCACACGTAGCAGAAAATGATATAACACCTTATCTTGTCAGCCGTTTTTACAGAGCTCCCGAAATTAGTAAGTTATTTATTCACTTTAAAAAATGTGCTGTGATTAAGTATAATATTTAACAAACTGATTTTCTTTTGATTAGTTCTTGGATTAGGATATGATTTTGGAATTGATATGTGGAGCGTTGGATGTACGTTGTATGAATTATACACAGGAAAAATTATGTTTGCTGGAAAATCGAATAATCAAATGTTAAAATTTTTCATGGATTTAAAAGGAAAATTTCCAAACAAATTAATACGAAAAGGTGCTTTTAGAGAACAACATTTCGACAGTAATTGTAACTTCTTATCTCATGAAGTTGATAAAGTTACAGAAAGGGTAAGATACTTGAAATTTATCATATTTCTCTCTCAAAAATACTACAATAAAATCTACATTTTTTTGTAGGAGAAAGTTGTGGTTTTAACAAATATTAATGCCAGCAGAGATTTACAAGCTGAATTAATCGGTAGTCAGCGTTTACCGGATGACCAGTATCGGAAAGTTTGCCAGTTGAAAGATCTTCTGGAAAAAATACTAATGCTAGATACAGCAAAGAGAGTATCAATTAATCATGCTTTGACCCATCCATTTATACAAGAAAAAATATAAGTAAGTATGATTAAGTTTGAAATAATGTAATACCGAGGGAGCTAGATATAATCATTATCTCTTTCTTTTTAATAAAATAAAAATTTTGTTAAATTTATTTAATTAAAGGTTACCTTGTCAGTTTAATGTTTTTAATGTAATGAACTTCAGAACAAAAATGATTTTGATCATAATATAATATAAAAATTATCATTTAAGTGGCCAATTTGTTTTCATTTTTTAGGATATTTTAGAAATAGAATTAGAATTGTGATAGTAAAATAGCAATAATTTGAAAATAATGCTTTCTAAATGGTTTAATCAGTTGTTAATTATCTTCATTTAGATTTCGAAAATAATTGATTATAAATCTGATAAATAGAATTTAATTTAATGACATGAAAATGTTTTCTTGTTTTAATTTTTAAGTTTTATATATATAAGCAATTTTTGTTTTTGTTGAAATTTGGTTCAAAGAAAATTAGCCATTGGATATTTATATCACATTGATTGGACTTCTAATATACTGGATCAAGAAATATGTGGTTATAATTCAACTATATTTAACTTTAGCTGTCTACTGATAAATTTCGTAAATGCTATTACTTTGTCTTTACTCTAAATTCTGTGTTGTGCTGCTAATATGCTAAATTAATACAAAGAGAGATAGCCAATCCTTTAAAGTTAATGGAAACTGAGTTATGTTATTTCAGATGTTCGTATATAAGGTGACCAACTTTTTTACAATGAAAAGGACACTAATAAATTGAAGGAAAAAAAATATTGTAAATAAAAAACATTTTATTCATTACAACAGTAATACACTATAATAATGTCTACTGCATGCATAGGTGCCATGTCATGTTTTGATAAAAAGTAAACAAAGCCATTTGCGCATTCTCTCTCTCTCAAGGCCTCCTGTGCAAAGAGCATGTCTCTCATAATTGCATCTCGTTGCACTGTACAGAGCCTTGATGACTCATGTTAAATACAAACACATCATATCACATCACACACTACGGATTGGTTTCGCTTTGATCGAATATAGAGATTTACAGATTAATCTTCAAATATCAAAAGGGAGGACATATAGGAGGACACTTTTCGAGGGAGGACAGAACTTACAAAGGAGGACAATTGGTCATCTTACCATATAATACTTCAGATTTATTTAGTACTTTCTCGACTTTCCTCAGATTCTATAACTAACTGAGCTGCAATTTGAAATAAATTGTAGACCTATAAATTTCTACTGTCATTTGTCCATCCATCTTTCCTTAATCTCAAGAATAGAGTCAGGTAGAAGAAAGATGAGACCGGATATGGAAACCTGGAAACCTTAGGGGCTGGAGACCCTGATTAAGTACAGTTGACCCCCCTATAACACTGTAGATATGTTCCGCTTTTTATGAAATTCATGTTTTACGAGTCCTTTAATACATGAGCCAATCACAGCCCGGCATGTATGCAGTTTACGGACTACTGCTGTTTGAAAGGTTTTTCTTCCATAAAATTAATCGATTCTAGACTAATTTGACTCAACATTTCCAAAACATGTATAATTTTTTGGGAATAATCCATATAAACTATGCTATAAACAAAAAATTGTAGGATTACTTACCGAGTGTGCACTGTTCGACGATGCCATTGCTTAAGCTTGTTTTAGTTGCAGAGCAGCGCATCAAACAGCGGGCATGTGTTTCCCGATAACTCATTTTTCTGTGAAAAATTTGCTGAACTTTGGAGACATCATTAATTAATATAAATATAATTTTTATGGCCGTTAAATAATAATTGGTTTTTAGTAGGTCCGCTGCTTGTTTAATCTCAACAGTTTGTGCAATATCCGCTATTGGTCTAGATTTGACCAATCCTGTTGCGACACGAGTCGGCGATGACATTTTACCGTATTTTATGAGTTTCTTTTAGCATCCTTATAAGAATATGGTCACAATTTTTTCGTTGCTATATACGAATTTGCATTATATGAACCCATTTTATAGGGGTCTACTGTATATACAAACTTCTGATGCAAACTGGAAGTCATGTTATTTCAATTCAAAGCTTTTCCCCTGAAATGAGTTAATAGATTATTTGCACAACTGTATCGTTAAAGGAAAAGTATGATGTATAGGGGCAAGCTACTACTAATTTGAGGTAGCGAGCATATATGAAATAAATTAAGAATATTAAAAATTGCAGTCTGCTATTGTAACGATGTAACAATTATTTAATTGCTTGTTAAACAAAAGCAAAACATTGTAGACAAAAGTTAAAATTATATTCAAATGTTATATAAAACATATGTAGCATTGTTCTTTGCAAATCTGTTAAGCATAAAATATGTCAGTAGTATGAAAGTTTTGCAATTAAATATAATGGCATAAGTAGACATTAGCATGGAGGGAGCAATAATCAGTCCATCTGGTTTTAACAAGGCGGACTGATTATTGTTAACCTTGATAAAGAAACAAATTAAATAGTAAGATGTAGTAACTTTACATCAGGATACTTGGATTCTTAGAAACTGTATCACGGTTATTATATAAAAGTTATTATATATTGTTGACTAACAACATAACTAAAAATTAGAAACCTAATTTCGGACATATTAAAAGTATAAAAAAAATTATAAGTCCACTGTCTTTGATTGTCCCTAGTCATCAAAAATAGTTATAAATTGAACAGATAGCAAAAACCAGTGCAATGTGAACAGCTACTGCAAAAAGGTGCATTTATAATTCCTTTCAATCAAACAGGATTTGTAAATGAATAAATACTGAAATTCATGTATCCACTTGAAGTAAATATTAAGATAATTTAAAACATGGAAAATATATTTAAATTATTTTTAATTTAGTTTAATCAATTTATAACACTTCATATATACGTTTTTTATGCACAGATGTTTAATTGTTAAATATTATCATTATAGTTTGTGCAGCCAAAGAGTAGACACGAGTCAGCCTGAGCTGGAAGAGGGTGTATGTCAGATGAAAGGGATGAGAGATGTGGCTACCCCTTGAGAGTGACACATGAATCTGATCTCTTTCAGCTGTTCTGTTTTTTACATTTCTAAAACATTTTTATACTATATTTATCATAATTTTATTGTTTTATTTTGTTTTTTTTTTTACAGATTTCATTACTTACTCTCAATTCTAACATTACATCACATGTTAATCACAAATCTCCTTTTATCTGACTGAGATCCTTCCAATTCAGGCTGACTCATATCTACTCTTTTGCTGTGCGCAGACTATATTATGAAATTTCAGAATTTGTTTTATTTATAAATCAAAACTTTAATTGATATTATTTAGATTTTAAATATTAACTTTCAACATTTTAACAATTTTTGATAGGATCTAACAATAAAGATGAAAATGAATTAAACAAAAGTAAGTATTTTAAATGCTTTTTAATTCAATAAGACACCTATAATAATAATTATTATTATTATTCTATCATTTTCATTTCTTAATTTTTAAATGAACTTTTAATCATGATCTGTAATTAGAACTTGGTGTTATTGAAATGCATAATATCTGTAAGATAATTGTATAGTTTTTAATAGATAACAGATATAAGCAAGTATTAGATTTAAAATTTATTAATGTGCTTTTTGAAAATTACATAATTTGTATTTCAATGGCAAAAAGTGTTGATGAATTTTAAGCAGCTCTGTGTCTAAACTTTAGTGATCTGAGAACTTCCCTGTTACTGTATTCTTTGACAAAACAGTATAAATAAAACTATAAATAAACTAACATCTTAATTTTTAATTTTTTTATAGAATCTTGAAAAGTGTGTGTGTGTGTGTACTGTACTGTACATACATATATATAGTTGGAATAAGCATCTCTATTTAAAGGAATAAATATTGAAAAATGTCACACGTGGCCACTCAGAATTAGTTTTTCATATACACAATGCAAACTATCCTGCCAATTATATAAGTCTAACATCACACTTTGCAAATCAGAAGCTCTGCCATTACTCACTCCTCTCTCACTTTCAAGGATTCAATTGAGGATTCCAATTACTTCCAGTATATTTTGATTTAAAAAGCTTGTCATAATTTTCCATACATTTTGATAGTAGTTATATATTTATTAAATATTTTTTCTAATTTGTCAGTTCATCACAAAGTCCTTCCAGAAGGCACCTTTTCTTTGGCAGATTGTTCATGTCTTGCATTATCTTATTCCACTAATTTTTTCAGTACTGAATAGTTTTATTCTTTTATGCCATTTGCTGTTGAATTAAAAAAAAGTGATTAATTAACCAAAATTGAAATATTTTGTTTAAACACATCCTGTTACATTAATTGGTTTACCTTATTATTTTTACTGATTCTTAAAGTTTGGAAGCAATCTTCCATTTTCTTTTTTTATATGGATATTTTTCTGTCCCAAAAAATCCATATAAATGTAAAAACAGAAATAATGTAAAAAATCATGTTAAAACAGAATTAGGTGTACATAATTTATGTATGCATGCATCATTATGTTGTAATTTTCCTTACTCTTGAATCTCTCTGCCATCTTTTTATATTAATAGCTATATTTTTACTTTCCAGGCTCTGTTTTATATAACAGAGGGAAAGTGTGACAGTCAAAAAAAGACCCTCAAGAGTTTTACATTTTTGGACTCAGGACCTTGAAATGTTGAGTAATGCAAAAAAATTATGGGTTTTTTTTGGTATGCATTTTGTTTGTTGGTTTGTTTGTGTGTGTGTGTAGGGCACAGTTTTGTTTACCCTCTTTGAAGCTTACTAACTCCTGTGCTTTTGTCAAAAATTTCTGAAATTTTGCAGGGAGGTTTGTGTATTTGGGGGATTGATGCTATTAAATTTTGATGGTTAAAGTTCGATGGAGTTGGGAGATAAAGGGGATCATGTTTTGTATCTTGAGTAGGGTCAGACTTATTGAAGATTTTACTCATTATTAGCATTTACAATTTTTTATAAAATCCATCCCTAACCTTAAAATTAAGCTTTTACCATTTTATAATAATCAAAAATATAAAAAGTTTTTAATAAAATATAACAGATAGCACCACCAAACTTTTAAAAGTTGCCAGGAAAGTTAAGCAACTTGTTGCTGGATTTTAAATTAATATATAAATTTGATGATAATCTGGGCATAGTATGTAAACTTTAATTTTTTATTTCCAAAGTTTTTGCAGAATTAATACACACAAAGTATTTTGTAGTTATTGCAGTATTATTTCTTTCAAACTAGTTTTTTACGGTGCTTTTAACTTTGTGTTCTTAATAGATAAGAATAATCTTTTGCAGTTCTCTCTATGCTCATAAATAGTTTAATATATAAATAAGACATTTACATAATGTTTTTGTTGAAAAAACTTTTAATTAACTTTCATTTCATATATGTAATGTGCTGAATATATTTTTGAGTTTTGAAAGAATCAAGTAATTTGATCATGCTTCAAATTATTACATTTATTTTTGTTTTATAAGCGCAATGTAACATAATAACAATCACTTGGCACGATTCACTTCTTTATTTCAATTTTTGTTCATATGCATTTACACAGATGTTTCGGGCATCATTTGCCCCTCTTCAGTCAACTAAAAATATACATAAAATCATTTTTACATACAGAACAACCCGACACACAAATTCAAAAATACGGATTATACAAGTAGCAGCACATAACCTACCTTAAAAATACAAATGCCATCCTTAGATGTATATTACCACAAGTGGGAACCATACAATATACATTGGATTACTTAGTGTTTCAATTTACGAAAAGGTTTTTTACTATAAAAGTACAGCTTAACCTTCTGTTAGTCGCATGGGTCTGACAGACCCGACGCGATTTTCAGTCAAAATTTTTTACTATTAAATATTTTTTGAAAAATTTGAAAAAATTAATATTCCTCAAACTTTTTAATTAGATTAACATGCTGTTAAAATTTTTTGCATAGCAACGCTCATTTTTTAGAAAAAAAATGCTTTACGAGTCGCATGGGTATGACAGACCCATGCGACTCACGGAGGGGGTAAAAAAACGTCAATTAATTTGTCGCCGTTGCCGATAGCGAGTGTCGCAATAACTTTATCGCGCTGAAGTTGTCGCGCGGTGTCTATTATACTTTATAATATCGTTATTTATTTATATATTTATATTTTTGTTTTTTTTNGATGGAACTAAACTTCACCTTGACGAATCTTTTTGTTTGTCTTTCGGCATCTGGTGGCATTTTTCCTTATGGTGATTTGCATAATCATGCATTCTTTTAAAATGGCAATCCAAGACTGTCATGATTTTAACCATTTTTAAGGATATTTTTCCAAAAAAATTTTTTTCTTTCTAAAGCTGCTTTCCAGTGAATTCTCTCTAAAGAATTTTTTACAGTATTTTTAAACAGTTCTCATTGATTTTTAAACTTAAGTTTTTATTTATACAGTGTTTATTTTTTAAAATTCCTATACTTTCTTTGAATTTTCTATTATAAGTTTCTTTTTCTTTATGTAGGATTTTAACATTATTCTAATCAATATTGCAATTATTTAGTGTACAGTGTTCAAGAAAAGCTGAATTAATTCTGTGATGTTTTAAATCTGCTACATGTTGTTTTAATCTAATTTTCATCTTTCTCTTTGTTTCTCCTATATAGAATTTTGTATTTTCACATGTACATGGGATTTGATATACAATGTTTTTTTATCTTATGTACCTGTTGTTTTCCTTTTGATGTAGATTTCTTAGTATTTAATCTAGCTAAACATTTTTTATACTTTGGAGCAAGATTTATGTTGGTGTTTTTTATCTCCTTATTAATTTCTTCATATAAACCCCTAATATAAGGAATGGAATATATTTTATTTTGGCTTGCTCTTTATTTTTTCTAGAAGTTCTTTCATTGTCTGTTCTATTCATGCCAGAATTCTGTTCATTATTTATTTTATCTTCCCAAATTTTAAATAATCTATTAGGATATCTGTCTAACAGGAATTTCTTCTTCAAGTCTTTAATATTATTATATCTATATATATGAAATTGCTTGTCCTGACTGACTCACTGATTCATCATCGCCCAGAGCAAACCGCTGAACCTAAAGAGGTGAAATTTGGTACACAGTTAGGGTACGTCATGAAAACGCACACTGAGAAGGGATTTTTCAGAATTCCCCCAAGGGGGGAGAGGGAGAGGATTAAGACTTAACTGGAAAAACGGCTTCTACTGTACTATTTTAGATGCGATTTTTTGTTTTAAACTACGTTTAGTCTTTATTGAGTACTTAGGTATATTAAATTGATAACATTTCAGACATTATACAATCTCTCTACACACCAGTGTTTAAATAAAATAAAATAAAAAACTCTTCAAACCTTTAACCGGAGTGCTTCTATTTTTAGAATTGTGAACGTTTTCATCGCCCCTCCTGGGCACTTCTTCAGGCTATAATGAATGGGCCTTTAATATTCAAATAAACATTTCGATCATAAACATTAGATCGAATGTTTATTTGAATATTAAAGGCCCATTTGTTATAGCCTGAGGAAGTGCCCAGGAGGGGCGACGAAAACATTTACAATTCTAAAAATAGAAGCACTTCGGTTAAAGGTTTGAAGAGTTTTTTATTTTATTTTATTTCAGACATTGTTATAAATATTTTTATCTATTTTGATTTTAAAAATGTTCGAACCGTTTTAAATTCAAATTTGTTATTGCATATTGGTTCGATTATAGAACGATTGTAAATGTTTCAGAAAATTGATCAAATTGAAAATAGTTCATTTGATTCTCGGCAGTTCTCTTCAGCGGTAGGTGTTATATAACAATTACTATGGTTATTGAAATATTACATGTAAATGGGGTTTGCTTGCAAAACCTCCGCTGACGAAGTCGCGGGTGACAGGTAGTATGTTAATACTTCTACTAGTTCTATTTTTAATTTTATTATATTCCATAGGGAATATATTCTGTTTTATATATAATGGTATATTTGAATTGTATTTCACGGTTGTTTGTATTGAACAAGATTTTTTAAAAGTTTTAAATTCTAATTCATTTTTCTTTCCTGTAATTGTAACATCCAAGTAATTTATCTCTTGATTAGTTTTTCCTTTTTTTTTGTACATGTATTACATTTATTTTGTAATGTATTTATTATAGAACATTGCTTTATTCTCTGTGCTGTCTTGTTCATGCTATGGCATTATTATGTAAATAATCTTATAAGTTGCTGTTTTCATATAGTAACATTGATACTTTTGAGGATAGATTTCATCTTGATTTTCTTCAGTTCTTTTTATTAATATTTAAAAAAGCTATTATATGAAAGTCCTTAATAATTTCATGTTTAGTTTGCTTTTAATGCTTGCATTATTATTTGTTTTCACCATTTTTTTCTCATTATTGAATAGGAATTTTTCATTTACTGGAAGAATGACAATAAATGATGACTTTCATTTACCATCATTCCTGTATTAATGAAAAGTACAAAATCACTTTCACAATTGTTAAGCAAGTTTCATTCTGTAGTATTTCAGAGAATGACACAATAAACATAATAATCATTGCCATCAAACATATATGCAATAAAGAAAAAGTATCCTAAAATGATAAAAAAAATTTAATTTAAAATATACTAATTTTTGTATTGTTTTGTTAGATATTTTTATTTTGAAAATTATTAATGCATGTTAAATATCTTCAAATTTTATATTATTTTATACAAATGTGCAATATTGTATGACTGATATTAAAATAGCGTCTCTGTAATCTGACATATACCTTACTGGTGGGTGTCAAATTACTGGATTTTGTATTTATGTACTAAATATTAAAAAATGCACTTGGTTCATAGTAGTATGGTTTATTTAATGTAATGATGATAATGAAATAGAATTTTGTGTATTTTAATTAAGTTTTTCTTTTCTTTACAGTCATTTGTATAATAAACAAGATACTCAAAAGTAAAAAAAATTTCAATACAAAGTTAAAAAAAAACAATTGATAAAAATTTACAGTAAATTTAAAAATTATTGTTAATTCTTACAGTAAGGATTGATATATTCAGTAATAAATTGAAACGGTATTGATCCGTTATGCATATTAATAGATCAAAAGTAATCTTCGACTTATAAAAAAAGTGAAATAATTGATATATAAATAGTTTGAATATTTTTTTAATATCATGCTTTAATTGATAGCAAACTTTATAGATGTTGCTAATCAAATGTAAATATGTAATACATCAAACATCAAACAAACAGCTGAATTCTTTATAGTGCTATGAGGCTAAATAATTACTAAGCAGTTTGACAGCAATTGGCCAAGCTGCTTAGTAATTATTTAGCCTTATTAAAAGAATCTGGCTATTTGTTTGGTATCTGAAATAATTAATGGGTTAGATTCATTTATTATTTAATACATCAGTTAATTCATTACAGAAAAGAATAGGATATTCATTAATGCCTATGTTAGTAATTACTATTCAATAAATTAATATTTTGCTTTAAGCAATAAATATGCTGTCTATCACATGGTACTATTAGTTTATTTAACATGACTATAGTTTTTAATTAACCCTTGTAATTTCAATATGCATTCTTGTTGAATCTATTAATTGTTCTCTCACTCTCTCTGTTCTTTTATCAATTTTCTTTAATAGTTATATAATTTTAAAATTTTGAGGTCAGTGATATTTTTCACATTGCTCGTATTACATTATAAATCACAATTTTGTATTTCTTATAGGTGCATTGCATGTTAACGACATCTGAAGAACTGATTTGAAGAATAAATCACCTATCCATCAAATACCAAGGACTTTTTGTGTAATAGTCCCTAATAATTATGCATGAAGATCATGTGTGTATTTTGAAGAGATGATTTTCAAAGCTGTGCGTATATACAAATTGCATGTTTAAATACATGCATACATTTATATATTTATATGTTATATATATTCAGCCCTTAGCATTATATAATATAATGCCAATTTAATGTGTTTCGATTTCACGACGTCGAAGTTTATATATAAATGTCCTGATAAATTGTAGAATCATAAAAGTTTTGAATGTTTAAGATAATTTGTACAAAACTCCTCATCTGTACAAGAGATAGACATTAATGTACCGAGAACTGTCGAGAGTCATTTTAATGCCATTCATTTGTTTAGAATGCATCATTGTCATCATCATAGATGTCATCTTTCGTCCCTTACCAAACAATGTTAATATTTGTGAATCTTATCAATTAATGACAGTGAATGGATTTTATGCAAGCGAATAGATTTTTAGTATTAAGCATCCATCCATAGAGAAATTATGTATCGGTTCTTTTTTTCATTCAAAAGTATTTATATTTGTGAATATGGGAGATAAGTACGACACAGAAAAAGTAATGGGTAATTTTTCCTTTTAAGTTTGTTAGCGGTTGCTTACCCGGCGACTGATCTTAAAAATATTGTGAAATTGTCTATTTAGAGAACAATCATCATTATTGTGTATTTGAAGATCAGTAGAGACATTGTACAATTTACATCTGATGTCACATGTAATTATTGTCTGATTACTTATGCTTTTTTGTTACCCATGTAGGTGTTAGAGGCCTGACGAGGTACTGAATAAACATCGCTCAAGCGAAAGCAGTAACAATATGTGGTAATTGCTTCTCTTTTATTTCACATTAATTTTGAAAATATAGTCAATTTTGTAAATCTGGGAGAAGTGTTATAAGTTTAGTATCATGCTTTTCCCACATATAAAAAAAAATTTCAAAGATATTTGGAGAAATTTATCTTTAATACAATAACGAAACAGATCAATTAATTATGAGCAAAAAGTAAAAAATTAAATCTTTTTGTTTATAAAATTCTAATAATCAATTTGAATTTGAAAAAAATAATTGTTTTTAAGTTTATTCTGGTTCTAAATAAATGCTTTCTATCAACATTTGATTGTACCATTTTGTGTTGTTTAATTAAATTTGATTGCATGTTTTTATTATATTGAATGATTTGCTATTTTGAATGAAAACTTCATTTAATTTATGACCTTAATTTGCATTTATTATTATTTGATACTGGAAAAATGATTTTAAAAAATTTTAAAAATTTTTTATTAACTTAAATGCAGACAGTTTTTCTCTAAATATACAAAAATTGCAATTGTTTCAATTATTTTTGTATCACTTAATATAATGCATAAATGAGGTCGTGAAAATATCAATTCAAATTTAACATTTAATTTAATAAGTCAATTCGAGGTAAAAATACGAATAAAATATTAAGTAGTAATTATATAATTTGTGATTGTGTGTGCGCGTGATGTGAATGAATGAATATGTAAAGAGTGAATGGTACCACAATTCTAATTAGTTTGAATCACTTAATTCTTCTTCCTGCATATTCCCAGGCTAACTCAGAAGATGAATGAAATCCAGTTCTTCTGGTGTTGAAGTTGGCAGGCATAACTGTTGTCTGGTTTATCCTATTCGGTAGATCTGCCAGCATCTATGCAGAAACATCCTCGTCGTTTTGTTTAGAGAAAGATGGTAGGGAAATGATGAATGAACAAACAAATTGATTGCATAGAAAAAGCTGCATTTAAATTTTTAAAAGTAATTTTTAAATTTAGGCAAGTTATTTGCATATTTCTGTGCAGTTTCTTTCAAAAAAAAAAAAAAAAAGCAAAAATTTGAAAATGTTTTTCATATTAAAGATTCACAATAATTCGATAAATTACTAATATTTATGTTTAAGATTTAAAATTTTTGATACTTACAGGTTTGTAGAAATTTATCATCTTGGCAAAGTATGGTTTACATGATGTTGCACAGTTAAATTACAAAATTCCACTTAAAATTTTAAAAGATAAGTAATTAATTTCTTTAAATAGAAAGTTTTAATGTACTTTTTTTCTTTTGCAGATTTTTTGGAGTATTCTTACTCCACTTAGAAAATAATTGATGGTGAGTAGTGATTCTAAAGAAGAAACCAAAAGGTAAAAATCGTAAACATATAGAAAAAGAAAGAAAGAAAGAATTAACATATTTGTCTTGGCAAACAACTGAAATTGTAAAATTTAAACTTTTTTTGAAATTTTTAATAAAGTTTTAANATCATTATAGTTTGTGCAGCCAAAGAGTAGACACGAGTCAGCCTGAGCTGGAAGAGGGTGTATGTCAGATGAAAGGGATGAGAGATGTGGCTACCCCTTGAGAGTGACACATGAATCTGATCTCTTTCAGCTGTTCTGTTTTTTACATTTCTAAAACATTTTTATACTATATTTATCATAATTTTATTGTTTTATTTTGTTTTTTTTTTTTACAGATTTCATTACTTACTCTCAATTCTAACATTACATCACATGTTAATCACAAATCTCCTTTTATCTGACTGAGATCCTTCCAATTCAGGCTGACTCATATCTACTCTTTTGCTGTGCGCAGACTATATTATGAAATTTCAGAATTTGTTTTATTTATAAATCAAAACTTTAATTGATATTATTTAGATTTTAAATATTAACTTTCAACATTTTAACAATTTTTGATAGGATCTAACAATAAAGATGAAAATGAATTAAACAAAAGTAAGTATTTTAAATGCTTTTTAATTCAATAAGACACCTATAATAATAATTATTATTATTATTCTATCATTTTCATTTCTTAATTTTTAAATGAACTTTTAATCATGATCTGTAATTAGAACTTGGTGTTATTGAAATGCATAATATCTGTAAGATAATTGTATAGTTTTTAATAGATAACAGATATAAGCAAGTATTAGATTTAAAATTTATTAATGTGCTTTTTGAAAATTACATAATTTGTATTTCAATGGCAAAAAGTGTTGATGAATTTTAAGCAGCTCTGTGTCTAAACTTTAGTGATCTGAGAACTTCCCTGTTACTGTATTCTTTGACAAAACAGTATAAATAAAACTATAAATAAACTAACATCTTAATTTTTAATTTTTTTATAGAATCTTGAAAAGTGTGTGTGTGTGTGTACTGTACTGTACATACATATATATAGTTGGAATAAGCATCTCTATTTAAAGGAATAAATATTGAAAAATGTCACACGTGGCCACTCAGAATTAGTTTTTCATATACACAATGCAAACTATCCTGCCAATTATATAAGTCTAACATCACACTTTGCAAATCAGAAGCTCTGCCATTACTCACTCCTCTCTCACTTTCAAGGATTCAATTGAGGATTCCAATTACTTCCAGTATATTTTGATTTAAAAAGCTTGTCATAATTTTCCATACATTTTGATAGTAGTTATATATTTATTAATTTATGAAATTCATGTTTTACGAGTCCTTTAATACATGAGCCAATCACAGCCCGGCATGTATGCAGTTTACGGACTACCGCTGTTTGAAAGGTTTTTCTTCCATAAAATTAATCGATTCTAGACTAATTTGACTCAACATTTCCAAAANGAATCTTGAAAAGTGTGTGTGTGTACTGTACTGTACATACATATATATAGTTGGAATAAGCATCTCTATTTAAAGGAATAAATATTGAAAAATGTCACACGTGGCCACTCAGAATTAGTTTTTCATATACACAATGCAAACTATCCTGCCAATTATATAAGTCTAACATCACACTTTGCAAATCAGAAGCTCTGCCATTACTCACTCCTCTCTCACTTTCAAGGATTCAATTGAGGATTCCAATTACTTCCAGTATATTTTGATTTAAAAAGCTTGTCATAATTTTCCATACATTTTGATAGTAGTTATATATTTATTAAATATTTTTTCTAATTTGTCAGTTCATCACAAAGTCCTTCCAGAAGGCACCTTTTCTTTGGCAGATTGTTCATGTCTTGCATTATCTTATTCCACTAATTTTTTCAGTACTGAATAGTTTTATTCTTTTATGCCATTTGCTGTTGAATTAAAAAAAAGTGATTAATTAACCAAAATTGAAATATTTTGTTTAAACACATCCTGTTACATTAATTGGTTTACCTTATTATTTTTACTGATTCTTAAAGTTTGGAAGCAATCTTCCATTTTCTTTTTTTATATGGATATTTTTGGGTCCCAAAAAATCCATATAAATGTAAAAACAGAAATAATGTAAAAAATCATGTTAAAACAGAATTAGGTGTACATAATTTATGTATGCATGCATCATTATGTTGTAATTTTCCTTACTCTTGAATCTCTCTGCCATCTTTTTATATTAATAGCTATATTTTTACTTTCCAGGCTCTGTTTTATATAACAGAGGGAAAGTGTGACAGTCAAAAAAAGACCCTCAAGAGTTTTACATTTTTGGACTCAGGACCTTGAAATGTTGAGTAATGCAAAAAAATTATGGGTTTTTTTTGGTATGCATTTTGTTTGTTTGTTGGTTTGTTTGTGTGTGTGTGTAGGGCACAGTTTTGTTTACCCTCTTTGAAGCTTACTAACTCCTGTGCTTTTGTCAAAAATTTCTGAAATTTTGCAGGGAGGTTTGTGTATTTGGGGGATTGATGCTATTAAATTTTGATGGTTAAAGTTCGATGGAGTTGGGAGATAAAGGGGATCATGTTTTGTATCTTGAGTAGGGTCAGACTTATTGAAGATTTTACTCATTATTAGCATTTACAATTTTTTATAAAATCCATCCCTAACCTTAAAATTAAGCTTTTACCATTTTATAATAATCAAAAATATAAAAAGTTTTTAATAAAATATAACAGATGGCACCACCAAACTTTTAAAAGTTGCCAGGAAAGTTAAGCAACTTGTTGCTGGATTTTAAATTAATATATAAATTTGATGATAATCTGGGCATAGTATGTAAACTTTAATTTTTTATTTCCAAAGTTTTTGCAGAATTAATACACACAAAGTATTTTGTAGTTATTGCAGTATTATTTCTTTCAAACTAGTTTTTTACGGTGCTTTTAACTTTGTGTTCTTAATAGATAAGAATAATCTTTTGCAGTTCTCTCTATGCTCATAAATAGTTTAATATATAAATAAGACATTTACATAATGTTTTTGTTGAAAAAACTTTTAATTAACTTTCATTTCATATATGTAATGTGCTGAATATATTTTTGAGTTTTGAAAGAATCAAGTAATTTGATCATGCTTCAAATTATTACATTTATTTTTGTTTTATAAGCGCAATGTAACATAATAACAATCACTTGGCACGATTCACTTCTTTATTTCAATTTTTGTTCATATGCATTTACACAGATGTTTCGGGCATCATTTGCCCCTCTTCAGTCAACTAAAAATATACATAAAATCATTTTTACATACAGAACAACCCGACACACAAATTCAAAAATACGGATTATACAAGTAGCAGCACATAACCTACCTTAAAAATACAAATGCCATCCTTAGATGTATATTACCACAAGTGGGAACCATACAATATACATTGGATTACTTAGTGTTTCAATTTACGAAAAGGTTTTTTACTATAAAAGTACAGCTTAACCTTCTGTTAGTCGCATGGGTCTGACAGACCCGACGCGATTTTCAGTCAAAATTTTTTACTATTAAATATTTTTTGAAAAATTTGAAAAAATTAATATTCCTCAAACTTTTTAATTAGATTAACATGCTGTTAAAATTTTTTGCATAGCAACGCTCATTTTTTAGAAAAAAAATGCTTTACGAGTCGCATGGGTATGACAGACCCATGCGACTCACGGAGGGGGTAAAAAAACGTCAATTAATTTGTCGCCGTTGCCGATAGCGAGTGTCGCAATAACTTTATCGCGCTGAAGTTGTCGCGCGGTGTCTATTATACTTTATAATATCGTTATTTATTTATATATTTATATTTTTGTTTTTTTT